CAGCTTAGCCCAACAGCATACACAGGCAACAAATGTATATAGTCTCAGCTTAGCCCAACAGCATACACAGGCAACAAATGTATAAGGCAGCCGTCAGACAGGTCAACACCACAGTCAGACACTAGAAATGCATCAATGCATCATTGATGGAACCAGCAGTTTCAACAGATCAGTAGTTGCACACACAATTAATCTCACAAGGCAACACCAGTTTTCTAGCAACAGGCCAATTGCCTTTTCCTAAATCTGCTGGTAACAAACCAAAACAAAAACCACGTTGAGCATTCGAAAAGCATTCCAAATTAAATCCGCAGCTCATAACATTGCACCATTCACTCAATTCAGTAGATAAGCGATTGAATTATATCCTTTAAATCTTTAGCTGGAGGTAAATGCAATGGCCAACTATCGTAAAAAGCAATTACTTGCCAGTACTAAGAACAGTAAATCTGCCTATCCATCAAAATGACCTGAAGGCCACATCTAAAATACAGCAAAGTGTAAACCTTCACAGAATTAAGCCCACTTCAGAAGTACCTAAACAAATACAGAGTAGGATAAGAAGATACCTAGCAAAAAACATGGGAATAAACAGACAATGAAATAAGCCCACTTCTTTTTCAAACTTTGTCCTTGTACAAACACATAAAAAAAGCATCTAAAGAAACACACAAAATACAACTTATGAAAACACATAAATAAGCCTACCTGCAGTTTCAATGAACAAATACACTGATTAGTAAGCTCATACTGATTACATCAGATAGTAATTAGATACATAAAAATTAATTCTTATTCTTTTGGTCCATACTATATGGCACTGACCACCGTATCTTTCCACAGCCTTCTGTCTTGTTACTATCATCCTTTCTGATTGTCTAACATAATCTCTCTTGGTCTCCCCCTGCCTCTCTTCTCCTTGCACTTTTACATTCTCATAATGTTTCCAATATAAGTCTAGCACTATACATAAAATGCATCTTCCCTGTAGCAACCTACAGATGTGCGTCGTGGACTATCTCACAGTCCTTAAGGAAGAAAATATGGGATTTTGAGATTAAATGCTATAGAAAGATACTCAGAATACTATAGACAAAGAAGAAAAGAAATAATGACATCCTAAAATATCTGAAAATCAAGGCATATTGGCTAATAAACAGCATCTTGTCTCTGAAGCTGAAATAGTTTGGCCAAATCAAGCACCAAGGTGGATTTGTGCTGACCAGCATAAAGATGGGCAAAGGAATAAGTAGGAAAGTGCATGAGGTGGAACAGCTGGTGAGAGACCGAGGTTCTTTCAGGCAGACCATGATGACAGCGACGCTCTGCAACATCTGAAGATGTGACTATATACGCAATACACCTAAGGTGTGTGGAAAATAGTACTCCACTTTACTTTATTAGTGACTCCAAGAGCTACAAGGGCTATTCCAGAATCAACTTCCGACTAGCTAATGAATATAATCCGTTCGTCAAAGTGACACCGTTTGCATCATTCAGTAGCCTTTTAGTCCATTTCTATTTGTTTGCAATTCATGAACCACTGAACAAATACAACTGTAGTCTGGGACGTATGAGCAAAAAGGCTACTGAATGATGCAAGCAATGAATGGCATTGCTATGGCAATTTATTTTTACCAGCCTGTCAGAGGTTGATTTTGAAATAGCCTTCATACTATTCAGATATGAAAAAAACAGAAGCAAATCCAAATAACACCATTTAATCTAAAATAAAACACAGTTATATTACAACACTCTACAGCCAAACATTAACCTGAAGTCACCTGTGGGGGTTATGATATTAACCCCTAAGCTAAGTTGATGATAGTATGATTTTTCCCTCAGTCCTATCTCCCAATGCAATAAGGTATTGACAGATCTCCCTTTTGTCAACTGAATAAAACTTACGAGATGGTGCGTGTCAACCACCTCCTGACTGCTGTTCGTTTCCAAGGCAAGTGTTTGCTGTCTTGCCATACTCTTCATTATAAACAAAGCTAGTAATTACTACATGTCTTGTGATACAGCTAAAATGTAAATTTAAATCATTTGGATACAAGAAATACATTGCACAATTTACTGCCTGGCATTTTTGGCTGTATCTCATCAGGTGCATGACTTAAAGAGTTAAATTAACATCAACATATAATGAAGCCTAACGTGAATCCTTTCCACTGAAATGCATAAATCACATAGTCCATTGCTATACTGTAATCTCACCACCAAGTCTTAGATTAATTAACCACATGATCCTTCTGTTTACATAACACAGAATTGCACATCCTCATTCAGACCGCTTCAGCTTATCTAAAAAAAAAAAATAATCTTCTTATGTATGAGGTGAATAAAATCTCAGTTTAGGAATGAGTAGGGACTGTGTTGGGCACCGGCAGGTTAATACTGACAGACTGATTTGCCCTCTCCAGAATACAACCGAAATGTGTCTGACGGACAGGGCTTATACTAGATATCCTTTCTTCTAAAAAGGTTATAATTAGGGCTCTGGTAATGGCTAAACAAGAGCGGTATAACCTGCACTTAGTGCAGGTAACTACTGAATGTAAAATTTGCCTAGAAATACCACAACAGCCCAAAAATGCTGGGGTTGGATCTTCAACATCCTGTAAAGGCTATGCAACTAGCTTTTAGTGCGGGTAAGGATGGGCAGCTCATTCCATATCTTTCCTATAACATTCATCTGCCTCTAATCCTCTCCTCTGTGTGCTTTAGATATTCTTTTATCGCTTTTACTGTGTGGGAGGAGTGAAGGAGCTCTCATGCCTGAGACCTGGGTTCGACCCCTGGTAAGGTGATGGAGGTTTTTCTGTCGGAGACAAAATTAGCATCCTATCCTGCACAGTCCGTGGCGACAGCACTAGCCATGCTGTTGTAAATCCTCAGCCTCACAACCTCCCCATCTAAAAAATGGTAAATACAGACTGCAGTGACAGTTTACTATGTGGGTTCCTGTGCAAAAGATTACCATAAACCATCTTGAATGTTACACACAAACCCCCACCTTTGACTCTGATGTCAGTAGAGTAAAGGATCTTTTTCACACCATGTAGTTTGATCCATATTTTTGTTAGACCATATTCATTATGTAGCAGGTCCTTCGCAGAAGGTTGCTCTCATCACTTTGAAAGAAACTCTCTCTCTTTCCAGCTCTTCCGCCTCATGTACTTTCATATTCAAGTAGTCACTTATATCGTGTGCCCATCTTTGTGATGGTCGGCCCCTTCCCCCTACTTCTTGGTACCATGACTTCTGCTAATATTTTTTTAAATCCGCTATGGCACTTGATATGACCAACATTTTTCAGTTTCTGAGAAAAGATGCTGTTTATTAGCCAATCTTCCTTGACATTCAGACCATTTCAAATGTCAATATTTTTTCTCGTTTGTCCATGGTATTCTTAGAATCTTTATATAGCACATCAGCTCAAAAGCGGCTATTTTCTTTCTAAGGACTAGGAGATAGGCCATGACTCACATCTGTATGTTGCTACAGGAAAGATGCATGCTCTAACACTTTTAATTCTGATTTCCTTGGAAAATATGGTCAATACAATGCCAACTGCCTCAACTTTCAAGAACATTCACTGGTGCCCACATTTATGCTTTCATCAGTCTTTTATCATGCCACTACTGGATATTCAACAGAAGAATGAAAGACTTTTGACAATGGCCCTTAACTCTTTCAGTCCCAAACAATGCCCAATGCCTGAATCCCTGTATCCACTGAATGCTTCCTTAGTTTAATGTGGTCTCTTATATTTTTTTAACATTTGATCAGAACATACTTAAGATAACTTTGCTTCTTCAGTGATCACTAAAAAGGTTAGTCACGTATCCAGGACACTGCAGAACTAACCCCAGCATTTGTTGGCTGTTGTGGTTTTTCTAGGCAAATTTTACATTCAGTAGTTTGTCACTGCCTCTGAATCGTCAGCGCTCGGTACCACTCAAAAAACAACGCAAGACAAACCATTTGCAGCTAGGATCGAACCCGGCACCCCAGCATTACGAAGCGCATTCACAACACCTAAGCCACAGATGCTGACCAGTGATCACTACTGCTGTTATATCACCACTTTGAAAGTAATGCATTCATGGATTTTAATCATCAATATTTCTTCACTTTGGCACTATGGTACTGAAAGAGATAAGATAGGACTCAATTAAATATCAGTAAATCTAAAGCTATGAGAAATAATTATAAGACAGAAAATTCTATAATCTTAAACGATGAAAGAAGAGAAGAAGTTGAAGAATTTATATACTTTTGAAGCACATTTACTCTGGAATTCTGAAAGGATGTAAAATCAAAAACAAATCAAGCAAACAAAGCATTTGCCATGCTTAACAATACATGAAAGTCATAAAGACTTTTGTTTAAACAAAATATAGGGGTTAAAGAGACTTTGGTTTGAAGACAACATCCAGATTATAATTATACATGAACATCATTTTAGGAATATTATTATACAACAGTGAGTGTTGGGAAATGACAATAGGAATTACATGTAAACTAGAAACTTGAAAAAAAGTGTCTAAGGTAGTAGCCTCTAATCTAGGGTATGAGGAAGTTTCAAGGGGAAGTCAGGCAATTTTGTACATTTGTGCTTGCAATAAGCAGGGCTTTCACAGCTTTAAAAGTCATGAAAACAAAATGGTGCTGCCGAACAAAGGAGGATTCCCCGTGTGGGTTCCGGGGCTCAAATGTGTTGAAAACAAATATAGACCCACTGCCTCCTCAACAAGCATATCGTAGGAGTCGGCTAATTGGGAACTTCTTTCAAAGTCTGAGTGCATCTGCCCGAGCAGCAAGAAGCAACCAACTGCACAGAAATAAGCTAGTAAAATGGCACACACAAAACTCAGGCCCTGGCACAAAGTCCAATTCTAAATGGATGGTAAACCACACTTTCCGCTGCAGCTTACAGTCTGTGAACAAAGAAAAAAAGAAGAAAAAAGAGGAGGATAAATCCATGAACTCACCTTTTAGTACCAATTCTAATGTTGCCCACAAACTCATACAGAAACCTATTAGGGTTCTCACATTCTACGACCCCTCGAAGCTCAGACAAACTTTCACCAGTGACAATAGAAGCTGTCACACTACTGCCCTGTAAAGACAAACAAAATACATGTAGAAATGTGTATGACTGTTAATGATGTGAAGAAAAACAAAAATAGACAAACAAACCATGTGTTGAAATGTTTATATTTGTTACCATTGTGAAGACAAATAAAACATGTGTTGGAATATATACATTTGTTACTGTTATGTAAACACACAAACAAACCATGTGTTGAAATGTGTAAATTTGTAACTGTTATAAAGACATATTTGGTGCTGGTCACAAATATTGCATCATGCCTCATGAGTTTTAAAAATTTATATAAACCATTGTTTTTCCATAAATCCATTTTCCCTCCCTTCTTCTCCTATCTTTCACAAACTCTCTCCACTCCCCCCCCCCCCCCCCCCCCTTCCTTTTCCACATGTATACTACAGTACTTTTCCTGTCAATTACGTATCACATACTCCACCTTCACAAACACTATTGTCCATTCTTCTCTCTCTCTCTCTTTTTTTTTTTTTTTAGTGGGTCACAGGCTGTAGACTGCAGAGGAAAGTTATGGCTCTTCATCCACATACTTCAGGACTTTAGTCCTGTTCCAGAACTTGAGTTTTGCGAGCATCTCACATCTCAGGCAGATGCACTCGTACTTTACACCAACTAACCTGTACCACAAACACACCAACTAACCTGTACCACAAACACACCAACTAACCTGTACCACAAACACACCAACTAACCTGTACCACAAACACACCAACTAACCTTTACCACAAACAAACCAACTAACCTGTACCACAAACACACCAACTAACCTGTACCATAAACACACCAACTGACCTGTACCACAAACACACCAACTGACCTGTACCACAAACACACCAACTAACCTGTACCACAAACAAACCAACTAACCTGTACCACAAACAAACCAACTACCCTGTACCACAAACACACCAACTGACCTGTACCACAAACACACCAACTGACCTGTACCACAAACACACCAACTGACCTGTACCACAAACACACCAACCGACCTGTACCACAAACACACCAACCGACCTGTACCACAAACACACCAACTAACCTGTACCACAAACACACTAACTAACCTGTGCCACAAACACACCAACTAACCTGTACCACAAACACACCAACTAACCTGTACCACAAACACACCAACTAACCTGTACCACAAACAAACCAACTAACCTGTACCACAAACAAACCAACTAACCTGTACCACAAACACACCAACTAACCTGTACCACAAACACACCAACTAACCTATACCACAAACACACTAACTAACCTGTACCACAGACACACCAACTAGCCTGTACCACAAACACACCAACTAACCTGTACCACAAACACACCAACTGACCTGTACCACAAACAAACCAACTAACCTGTAACACAAACACACCAACTAACCTGTACCACAAACAAACCAACTGACCTGTACCACAAACACACCAACTGACCTGTACCACAAACACACCAACTGACCTGTACAACAGACAAACCAACTAACCTGTACCACAAACAAACCAACTGACCTGTACCACAAACACACTAACTAACCTGTACCACAGACAAACCAACTAACCTATTCCACAAACAAACAAACTAACCTGTACCACAAACACTCCAACTAACCTGTACCACAAACACAATAACTAACCTGTACCACAAACAAACCAACTAACCTGTACCACAAACACACCAACTAACCTGTACCACAAACACATCAACTAACCTGTACAACAAACACACCAACTAACCTATACCACAAACACACCAACTAACCTGTACCACAAACACACCAACTAGCCTGTACCACAAACACACCAACTAACCTGTACCACAAACACACCAACTAACCTGTACCACAAACAAACCAACTAACCTGTACCACAAACACACCAACTAACCTGTACCACAAACAAACCAACTGACCTGTACCACAAACACACCAACTGACCTGTACCACAAACACACCAACTAACCTATACCACAAACAAAGTAACTAACCTGTACCACAAACAAACCAACTAACCTGTACCACAAACACACCAACTAACCTGTACCACAAACACACCAACTAACCTGTACCACAAACAAACCAACTAACCTGTACCACAGACAAACTAACTAACCTGTACCACAAACAAACCAACTAACCTGTACCACAAACACACCAACTAACCTGTACCACAAACAAAGACTCTAAGACATGACTTACCTGCCGTAATTTTAGATTTGTCTCTCCATCCAGATTGGACGTCTCTATATAGCACATGGCTTGAGGCTCACTGTCGATTGTGTGAAAACATGTTTAGCATTTACTACGCCAAAGTCAGTAGTCAACAATAAAGTAATGGGCCCTTTTTCTCATCATTGTCTTATGTTTATGTTTTTTCAACGAATCAACATCACAGCACACAGGTGTAACCCATAAGTGCTCTGTTCTTCTTTTAAATCGAGCCTGAGTCTGAAGAATCTCAGCGCAGTGCACAAACTCTGTTGCACCGGCGAGGATCCTGAAATACTTTGGGTAGATTTTTAACTCCAAATTTTGCCCGGGCAGCAACATTAGGCTACTCTTTTCGATTTCCAACAACCTGGGGATTTTTCTATGCGCGCAATAATACTATAGGCATCCGGTCTTACTACCCAGAGACCAGGGAAAATTACTAGAAGTCCATGTGAAAAATCCAAGCCCTCACCGGGACTTGAACCCAGGACCTCTAACACTCGAGGCAGACACCATCCTCGAGACCACGCAGTCCCCACTGGCAGATATTTTTTCCCCCTAAAGATTTAATATTGTCCAGATCCTCTACTCAAGCTGAAAGAGTCCTTCACATTATGGTTACTCTGTCTGTATACGAAAGGTACAAGGCACTTGGGCATGGGGCTCTAGACTTATCATTTATATCAACCAATCAATTCAGGACTTGCTGAAACCGAACATGTTGGGTCAAAAGCTACAGATATCAATGCCAAGCTGTAAACCCCAACTTTTAAGGGCAAAGAAGGGGGAGAAGGAAGAAAAAGAAACCACAACAAAGGTTCTAACCTTGATGATAAAAGTATAAGATCTGCTGGAAAATGTGCTCCGTCTACCACTTTAACAATATCCCCCACAGCAACATCCTGCCATTTGACTTCTTGCCATCTCCCATGGCGATGAACTGAAAAGTAAAAAAAAAAAAAACTGAATGTAACTAATATGAGTTTAAGTATCATTACATTCTGTGGCTGAGCAGCAGCTAGCAATTTTACCTACTAGTCTGGTAGCCATGGGTTCAAATCCCCATTAAAGTGTTTTCAATTAACTATTTTAACTGAGAACTGAGGCTCCCAGGTGAACCTAGGGTAACTAATATGAGTTTAAGTATCATTACATTCTGTGGCTGAGCAGCAGCTAGCAATTTAACCTACTAGTCTGGTAGCCATGGGTTCAAATCCCCATTAAAGTGTTTTCAATGAACTATTTTAACTGAGGCTCCCAGGTGAACCTATGGTACAAATGGGCACCAGGAAGTGTTCTGGAAGGTGAATGTGGCTTGTATGACATTTAAAACATCACTGAGTGCTAACTGGTCTCAGCAGAGGTGACCATGTTGAACGCAGTCTACTAGTCACATTCTACTAGTCACAGTCTACTAGTCACAGTCTACTAGTCACAGTCTACTAGTCACAGTCTACTAGTCACAGTCTACTAGTCACAGTCTACTAGTCACAGTCTACTAGTCACAGTCTACTAGTCACAGTCTACTAGTCACATTCTACTAGTCACAGTCTACTAGTCACAGTCTACTAGTTACATTCTACTAGTCACAGTCTACTAGTTACATTCTACTAGTCACAGTCTACTAGTTACAGTCTACTAGTCACAGTCTACTAGTCACATTCTACTAGTCACAGTCTACTAGTTACAGTCTACTAGTCACAGTCTACTAGTTACATTCTACTAGTCATATTCTACTAGTCACAGTCTACTAGTCACAGTCTACTAGTCTACTAGTCACAGTCTACTAGTTACATTCTACTAGTCACAGTCTACTAGTTACAGTCTACTAATCACAGTCTACTAGTTACATTCTACTAATCACAGTCTACTAGTTACATTCTACTAATCACAGTCTACTAATCACATTCTACTAGTCACAGTCTACTAGTCACAGTCTACTAGTCACAGTCTACTAGTCACAGTCTACTAGTCACAGTCTACTAGTCACAGTCTACTAGTCACAGTCTACTAGTCCCATTCTACTAATCAATCGACAAGCCTGCCAGTAGCCTGCGGTTGTACTGGCCTTTACTTTTTCCCATGTCAAGTCCTCTTTATTATAAAACAGGGTGAATTCAAGAGGGCTGAATTAATAATAAATATGGCTAGGCAACCATTAGTACCAACAGTTAAAAGAAAGAGAAGATGGCAATATACTGGACACATAGTTCTCTCTCATGTTCTAACTTGTTCTCTTTCACCTTGCTGCTCACTTTTCTTCTTTTTCAGTCATTCTTATCATCATCATCCCTCTCTCTCTTTTCCCTATCCTTCTTTTACCCACTCACTTTCTCAAACATCCCTTCTTATTCAGTCTCCTTCCCTTTCATTCTCACTTTCTCACTCATCCTCCTACTCCCACACTATTTCTCACTCTTTAATTTCTTTCACCCTCACTTTCTTTCACTCACTCTGGCTAAATCTCATTCTCTTTCACTTTCTCATTTCATCTCCTCTGTTGTCCGTATCTGGGCATCCACAACCCTGTAAGCGACTATTAGAGTTTAAAACTATTATACAGTTTGCATCGTTTATTTTTATTCTTGAAAATGCTAGATCATTATCGGCTGGTCTATATAAATTATACACTTATATCAAGGCCTATAATTTTGGTTTTATTATTTGAGTTCCCAGGTACTTCATTCAGTACTGAGTTTCAAATAAGTAGTTAAACTCCTCCTTTGCGCCCTTAACAGTCTTAACTTATAGCCTGATATCATTTGATTGAAAATCTGTGAGGGGCATTGAGGTGTATCTCTTGGATATGTGCTAAATCAATTTGTTTCCTTATTAAGACTGTGTCAGACATTTTTAAAAAAATTACTTTTATGATTCCTTCAGCATTCCAGTAGAATGTCTTTAACTCTCTCTCTCTCTCCCTCCCTCCCTCTCTCTCTCTCTCTCTCTCTCTCTCTCTCTCTCTCTCTCTCTCTCTCTCTCTCTCTCTCTCTCTCTCTCTCTCTCTCTCTCTCTCTCTCTCTCTCTCTCTCTGGTTAGAACAGGAGAAAAATATTCCATACGTCCCACATTCAGACCCACCTATGCTTCAAAGCATGGGATGCCTGTTCCTGTTCAATCATAAAACAACTTAGAGCAATTCAAAAAAAAGCAGCATGCTTAAAAAGTAATTATCTTGGAGGGTTCTCTTTTCGATTTTCAACCGTCAAGGGAATTTTTACGTGGGCAACAGTACACATGGGCGTCTGATCTTACTACCCAGAGACCAGGGAAAATTACTAGAAAGCCACATGAAAAAAATCCCAGCCTTCACCAGGACTTGAACCGGGGACTTCCAGCACTCGAGGCGGACACCATGCCTCGAGACCACTCAGCCCCTCTGGAAGTAGATTTCAAAGGATGAGGCAAAAGGGCATACCTAATTAAACCCTTTGAAAAAAAAGTTTGTTCGTTCATTTGTTCATTCATTTGAACATTCTGAATGTTGAATTAAGAATCCATATCATAGCACTGTACAAGAGACACTCCCCATAAGCGCTCCATTTCCATTATGCATGTGTGTGTGTGTGCGCACACACGCGCATGCATGCGGACTTACTCACTCACTGTAATGAGGTTACACATAGGGATAACATCACAGAGTATGACTGACTAACAGAACTGGGGAAGTCCGTAAAGTGAGAGTCATGGGTTTCATAGGGAAAAACCCGGGGTTGGTGAATTCATATGGAAATGGGAGATCTGGAGGATTGCTGAAGAAGTGGTCATTCGGCAACTGGACCCCAGAGAGTTAGGAAGGAACTAGAATGTTCGGAATGAAAGTGTGTTCAAGTTGAAATGAAGTGGAACTTGATTTCTGCAAAGTACCTGTGATAAATCTACGTTGAATAATATGTGACTGTGGTGTGACTGTGTATTCACATGTGAGAGCAATTGGTCCTTGTCAGAATGACGTAAGTTAGATTGTCATATTGATTCTTGTTGTATATTAGACAAGGAATAAACCTGGAATTAGTCCTCTTCACCGTCGACTATCATTTGGAGTAGTGTGATCATTGATGGAAGATAGTCTGCCTCGTCTATCCTACACTGTTGACCCCCTAGACAACGATCTGGGTCAAAGGGAGTAAGAGAAAAAGAGACCGAGTTAAATAAAGAGCACACTTCTTTATAGGAACCACAGAATTGTAGAGAAGTGATGGTTTTTTACTCACTCATTCACTCACTCACTCAATCTCTCTGTGTCTCTTCTCTTTCTCTCTCTATATCACACAACTCATATTTGTACAATACATTTACAATTTACCAGAAATTTCTATGTTGTTTACCATGCCATCAGCCCTGTGTCTCTTCTGCAATATAAAATCAAAGACAAACAAATATATTTATCTGACCAGAAAAAGAGCAAAGAAATGGAAATACTGACAAACAAATGCATTCTCCACCTGAAAGCCAGCAATGAAAATATTTCTCATTATATTTAAACACAAACTGCTGCAGAAAATAACAAGTGGATTCCATTGAAATATACCTCAAAGAACTGGCTTGAAATAATCAATAGAATTCACAGTAATATTAAAGAAGTGAGCTGTTGGGTTGAAAGTCATTGAGAAGATATTAAAGATGAAAAATGAGCCTAAGGTTGAATAACTTTATAATGATAAATTGTATAGCAGATATAATGGTTGTTTGCCTTTTCGCTGTTGTTGTAGATTTTTTTTTTATTGCCTGGCATATTTCGCTGTATCTCGTCAGGTGCATACTACAGTAACAATTAATTCTGTAGTTGGCACCTGATGAGATCCAGCAAAATATGCCAGGCAATAAACTGTGCAGTCTATTGTTTGTGTCTTCTTTGTTCAAATTCACAACGGGGAAACATTGCTTTGGTTGTTGTTATTGTCGGCATGATGCAGACAAATCAACCACTAAGTGCAAATCAGTCTATAAAAAATGAGCTACAGTTGGCAGAGCAGGGGCTAGCATGCTTGCCTGTGGCCACGTGGTCATGTGTTCAAATCCCTTCTAAGACAGTGATTCTTCTTAACCTGGGCTCAAAGAGTAGGTCAAAGCCTAAAGTGGGTACAGCAAGTATTCTGTGAGGTCTTTCATTTGTCTATAAAGTGCTTTGTGCTGCTAATTGTCGCAGGTTAATAGGTGATCATTATTTCAAGCTAGGGCACGATCGGTTGCTCCATATGCTGTGATATCAGTGAGTCCTTCAATCCATCTTCTTCTTGGTCATCTCCTACTCTTTGTTGTTTCTACTATCATATTGTATGACCTTGTTTCTGGCATCATTCAATTTATTCTCATCAAACATTCTGTGAGGTAAATGAGGGGAGAAAAAAAAAAGTTCCATAGAACAGCTCACTATTTAATTAGTTTCAAATGTACTCACAATGTCCTCAACAATCTCTTTGATGGCAGATACCATTAAAATCAGCAACAGTGGAACCGCAGTTGTGTAACGACCAGTAGGGGATACATTAGGGATTTGCTAAAAGAACAATCAAAGTAAATGCCATGTAATTATGCTGCGGATGTAAGAATTGAGTTATAACAGTGAGAAACATTACTTTACTTTAATAAATAAATAACAGTTCACAATAACTTGTACAAATTCTCCAAAGGTGGCATATTTATTTAAGAACTAAATAACATTTTTTAACACCACACTTCTGATACTTCTACAGTAAGAATATATATTTTTCCAAAGCAATGCAACCAAGAAGCACTCATCATCATCAAGTGCCTTGTTGACTAGCGTGGGTGATCATGCCTCTCCACAATCTGCGATCTGCAACTGTGTGTATCAGTTCGTGTGTTGGTACCCTCCATGCCATGACAAAAATGCTGTCAAGAATCTTATAGTGTTGTCTTCCTCTGTCTCTCTTTCCACAAATCTTTCCAGTGGTCACAACATGTTCCATTTCCCCTCTTCTCATAACATGACACACACAAAAATGACTGTCTCATTCTGATTAACTTGTCTTCGAGCACCTACTTCTTTCAAAGCATTTGAGTTATTCTTCTGTCGAAGGAATTCTAAGTGAACCACTACATATCAGAAATTTACAGAAATCCCAAAAATCTTCTTTATATGTCTTCCACGCATGTGCATGCAAACGCACACACGTTAATGTGGAAATGGAAATGCAACCTGAAAATATAATATTATGGCACAGTGGGGAAATTCAACCTAAAAACTCAATGTTATGGCACAGCAGACAAGGCCTCTTAACCTTGATTGGCAGCAGGTCTAGGAGGGAAGCTCTGAAAGGTGGCTAGACAGAGCACTGCTTTTCGGATCTGGCAGCTTCTGTTTTGGTACATGTACTTATGCTACCTTTTATCTGCAGTATGTAAGACAGACCGAGAGAGGAATAATGCTGGCTTTGTGTGTGTGATGTCAGCAGGTTTTACTAGTCACACTCCCCCCTGCCATGGGCTGTGATATATATGAAAAGATAGAAAGGTGCCAACTCTTATATATCTAAACACTACACTAACCTTTACACTTTTTTCATGTATCTACAGACTTGCAAACAAATCTACATAACTCCCTCATATACACTCACCTTCAAAACATCTACACATATGCAACCTTCAACACATATACACGATTCTCACACATTAGCATACCTCCAAAATAACTGCACACCCCTTCCCCCTTTCCCCAACCTCAACCCCCACCAAACATACATACCCAGAACTGTACAAATTAACCAACATATTTACCTGTAAGAGTGCGATGAACAAGAAGAAGATGTTAGCATACTTTCTAAACTGTTCAAATAAAAACTTTGGCAGGAACGTGAACAGGCTGTACTTGGCAGTACTGTGGAGAAAAATACCCCAAGGATAAGCAACAATTAAAGATTACAACAACATAACAAAAGTAACTCAATTACTGGGGAAGTACTGAGTTGACATGATAAAAACAATTTCAAGTATCTGTCTGCACTCAAAGAAGAACAAGATGGAAGTAGGGGCAAGAGGATATACACAATATAAGCCAGAAACTATAGATACCATACCAGGATTTGCATCTATTGCCTCAAATTGCCGTCATAAATTGGAAGCTTTTGTCTCCTCTTTTGCTTTCTTCCCTTTTTATAAATTTCTGTGTAAAAATGTATAACACCCATGAGGATGCAGGTGTGCATATCATAAACCCTATGTCCTTAGTTTCTGGCTTGTTTTTCTAATTTTTCCACGCAGCCAGAGCAGTGACTGGCTTGTTTCAATTTCCAGCTGGTAGAGTATAATCTGAAAGTGCAAAGCATGTACACACAGCCTTTTATTTTTACACCCTTGCTGCGATCGGCGCGGGGCTGGCCGGGTGCAGCACAAGGTTGGTGGCAAGTATGTTGGCATTCCACCTGACCCATCTTGAAACATGGATCAAGGAGTCTAACATGTGTGCGGGTATTGGGCAGTACGAAACCCAAAGGTGCAGAGAAAGCGATTTTTGAAAGCTAGAGTTGTCTTCAGGCGACCCAGGTGGGATACAGTAAAGAAGTAAAGGCTATCCTCCAAATAACGGTCCCAAATTACTGAGACTAAGAAAAATACCCTAACAGGGCTTCAGTTATATGTAAATTGCGGACCTCATTGTGAGGCTAGATTGAAATAGAACATTTAATCCTGTCTGTCTAAAAACATAATGAGGATCAACAACATTTTCTATTTTTCAACAACAACAAAAAATAATGTCTACAGACAAAACTGGGTGTCCCCCATATACACACAAAACACAGGCACTAACTAAACTGTGAAGAAATTGCAAATGTCATAAAGGATGAATATCCAGGCTTCATAATCAACAACAATGAAGACTGAGTTGTCGACTATCTCGAAATCATAAAGAAGAAAATAGGAGGTTTAGAGCTGAAATGCTAAAGGAAGAAAGATTCACAAAATTCACTGGACAGACGGACGGACGGATAGATGCACACACGCATGAACGTATGCACGCACACACACACACAAAATTTATGACATCCTAAAAGGTCTGAATACTAATGAAAATTGGCTTGTAAAAAGCATATTATCTCGAGAACTGAAATATTCTGGCCATATCAAGTGTCATGGTGGATTGGGAAGAACCGCTGTGGAGAGCATGGTACTGGGAAAGAAGAGCAGGGGTTGATGAGCACAGGACATAAGAGACACCTTGGCAGAAAAACGCATGAGGCAGGAGAGATGGCGAGGGACTGAGTTTCTTTCTGGCGGGCTGTTATAGGAGCAACGTTCTGCAAAGGACGACCTGCTACATGATGAAGATGATGAGTAAAACCAAGAGCTATACTGGTCTGGATAAGAAATCCTCCTGCTGCTGGGTAAAGAACCTTGACCAGTCTTGGTAAGTCAGTGCTCTGACAGGCAGAAATACAAATTTCAAACAATAAATATACTTTACTAATCATCATCATTTTTATCATCATCAAGTCCATCTATAGACCATGTATGCAAAATCACCCCTTGTGGGATGAGATGCCTGAACAAAGCCACTAACCTAACCATTGGGGACCAAGTGAATAATGATACCATCAAACAGATAGTGGGAATGGCACCTTGTACTAGATTAATAGAGAAACAGCAAATCAAGTAGTTGGGCTATCGAACTGGAATGCAGCAAGATCAAATACCATCACAGGCACCACAACTCAGAAGATCAGCTACAAGATCTAGAGGACAACCGTGAAAAATATGGATCGACAAAATTAAAGACATCTTAAGCCTTCACAGGATGACAACAGCCAGTGGCAGCCACAGTGCACTGGATCAAAAATTATTCCTCCCAGGACACTTAATGGCAGAAGCGGTATATGATGATGATGATGATGATCTACACTACCTTGCTGACTGCCGTTCATGCCTCTTCACACTCTGCAATCCTCAAAGCATAAATCAATTCTTGTGTTGACACCACTCCATGCCACGGCACAAGACTGTTGAGAACCTTCGTGTACTGTCTTCTTCTGTCTCTTTTGTTCCACAGATCTTTCTGGTGGTCACAACATATTCTAGTTTCCAGCTTCTCATAATATGATGACAAATTAGGATGTCTCTTTCGGATGTTTGTGATAAGTTGTCTTTGAGCCCTAGCTTCTTTCAAAACATCTGGGTTGCCATTTTTTGTCTGTCCAAGGAACTATAATAATTCTTCTGTTAAAATTACATTTCCGAGGCCTCAAAAAAATTTTTGGGGGGCTCATTTCTTAATTTTCTAGGATTCACAGTTATACGTTAAAACTGGCTATATTTAGCATTAATTCCTTTTTGTTTTCTAATCTCTAGTAAAATGGATTTATTGCATAAAATAAAATGTTCTTCATTTTATAAGATGTAATTTTAGCCTGTCCTATTCTGTTTTTTGTTTCTGTGATACATGCTTCGTTGGATGTTATCCTTGTGACAGATACTTAAATTTCTGTATTTGTCCTAAAAAAACCACAAAGAAATAACAACTCTTAAATTATAATTATTAGAAAGCAGAGATAAATCCAACTTTCAAACAAAAAAATTCACAGCACCAACAACACATAAAACAGTAAACATATTTCAAATAATAAATGTAAATAAACACTAACCTGATTTTATTTGTGCAAAACTTTTGCCTCTGGGGACCATTTATAAAAATCAAACGTGAATGGTGACTTCCTAAAATGTTGCCGACAGACTCTATCACTGAACTTCCTTCCTGTGGACCTGGGGTAGGATCATCCTGATTATTGATTTGCTGGTAATCTGCAACACAACAAAGATAAGAATGGGCATTTTCATTGCTGATATTGGGTTGAGGAGTGAAAAACTCTCACATATAAAAGGTTACCTTCCGCTTTTTCTTCGTGTTCACCAGCTGCAATCTCTGGCAGAAAGTTCTGGCCATTCATCACTTCTAGACTTTGGTCTTGTTCCAGAACAGGAGTTTTGTGTGCATTACCGTTTTACAGACCTGGCTTAATTATTTATATGCAGACTCTGGGTTCCTCACCTATAAGCAGTTGTACTACGACTTCGAAGGAAACTTCCCTAATTAGTTGACTCTTGCAATATGCTTGTCACTGGCAGTGCGTCTACTCTTTCTTCTCCCACAATGGGACCCTTGAATCCACACAGGGAATATAAATGGTTATAGTAATGAGACAAGCTTGGAGACATCTGATGGAGGCGGAAAGATGATTGCTGAGGAAATTTCAAGGAATATCATCAACCTACAGAAAAATAAACACGCACACATTTTCCATACACACAGAGAGTCTCACAATCCTTCACCTTCACCCTGAGCGGTGATTTCCACCCCTCTCTCTAGCACAATTGAACACTATCATCTGGCAAGAAGATAAATGTTTTGATCACCTGGCCAGAATGGACCAAAATCAGCCAGCAGCTAAAGGGTACTACATGAAATCAGTAGATTACAAGTCAAGAGGTTGACCAAGAAAGATATGGGTGGAGGAAGTCAGAAACATAATATGACATAAATGCAAACTTTACAACTAGCAAAAGACAGAAAAGCACATTTAACTCCTCTCTGCACTATTTTATGGCATGAGCAGTAGAGGGGAAGAAGAAGAAGAAGAAGAAGAAGAAGAAGAAGAAGAAGAAGAAGAAGATCTAGTCAAAAAGTCTCCCCCCCCCCCCCCCCCCCCCCCCCCCCCCCAAAAAAAAAAAAAAAAAAAAAAAACAACAAACACACATGAGCGCAAAAACACACAACATGTTAAACACTCAACCTGTGCCTTGTGACTGGACAAAAATGAAAGTTTGATGATCTGGACAGAGAATCAATAAAAGTGACCTGTCCTTGCTGTGTTAACTACTAGCTAGTGTTTCTCAGGTCTGGTTTAGAAATCAATGATGAAAATACATGGTCTCTGCTGAAATTTGTTTACTACTTTTTTTTTTTTAAATTAAAAAAAAGATTCTTACATCTTAAAGAAATAACTTCTTTAAAAATGTATAATTAAAGACCTTTATTATGCCAGTGGCTCATTGGGCAAATCATGCTACTGGTATATTTACAAATCAATCCCAACTTGCTGGGTAATTTGCACAACATCACTCCAACTGCCTTTACTTCCCAGGACATCTTCATCTGCTACAAATTTTAGACAGGGTCAACCTGGGAGCCAAGGTCTTATTTTTTTTTTAAATGGAACACAAGACATTCAGGTCAGAGTGTGAGCGCCTCCAGTTGCTATGCTACCGTGGCTCCCAGGAAATGTATCATGCATGTTATGATTTTATTTTAACATACAAGAAAAGGATTATATTCTTCTTCTTTCGTTCGCCTGAAATAAATAGTCTATATTAGCGATTTCACTGTTGTTTTTAGTTCATTCAGTCGTCTGTAGAGTTTATGTTCCACTGTTATTCTTTCTGGTCAAAAGGTTTGCCCTAATTTGTCACATTAAGTGCAGTCCTGAAGTATGTTTTCTAATGTCTGGGACAACTTTCCACATTATTAGTTGCGTAATCGTTTAGTGCCCTGTTCTGAGGCAAAGGATAATGGCTTGTTCTGATCTGTACATAACAGAGTACTCGCCTTGTTCTGGGGTTGGTGGTTTCCTAATCATTTTATGAAATATTTGAATGGTGTGTGTGTGTGTGTGTGGCATCCTGACTGCTGTGGTATGCCTCCTGATAGGCTGCTCTGTTAAAAGGTAATGAAATGCCGCTTTGTTGAAGGTACTGTGTGTAGGGTCATCTTTAATAATTTCTCTGATATAAGGACATATACGTTAAATAAGTAGAAAGTTCAATGTAGATATGACTGGCTGACAGACAAAAGCAAAGAGAATCATGATGGAAGCTGAAATATTTTAGTCATATCAAGCGCCACGAGGGATTGGAAAAAAATTATGGCAGAAGGCATGGTACCAGGAAGGAGGGGCAGAGGCCGACCGACACAAAGATGGGCACAGGATATAAGTGACTCCTTGAGTATCAAAGTACATGAGGCGGGAGACCGAGTTTCTTTCAGGCAGACTGTGATGAGAGCGACATTCTGCAAAGGACCTGTACATGATGATGATGATGATCATGATGGACTGGGACTGTGCCTGTCTTAAGGACAGGGTGGATGTCAAGTGGGATAGATACAAGTAGCAATGAATTTGTGAGACAAATACCTGCCGCAGTAAACATAAAAAGTAAAGACTATGGATGCACAATGAAAGAAAAAGACCAGAATCACAGCCTGAATGTGTTAGCCTAACTCCAATATATGTTACGTTTGTAACAGACTGTTCTCAACCGGGGCAGGCACACCAAAGTCATACCGTTTTGAAACTTCCTACTCCACTCATACACTTGTTGGATTGACAGTCATGCAATACCATATTATACTTTTATTCACCCATACATTTTTATAGATTTCACTCTTTCACTGGTTAAAAAAACAGATACAAGAACGCTGTTCCTCTTTGGTGCATGTCAAAAGCGGCGTGGAAGGAAACCTTTAAACTGTTATTATGTTCCTCAGCACCATGATGTCACTTGCTTGCAAAATCGCGCGCTTGTTGGCGCCTTGTATGACGTCTGTTTACCGCGCGTCAGCAGTCTTCATCTTTGCCGCGTCAGGTTGCAGCTGTTTTCGTCTTTGTTTGCCGTTCGTTCCAGCCATGACTTTTCTACAATTAGTAGCATCTGTGCGAGACAAGGAGACCAGCATTGCCTTCAAGCAACAGCATGACATTCTGCACAGAACGAGACGTTGCAGACACAACCATAAGACAGATGCTGTGTATTATCGCTGTCGGAAAGACACACGACCGTTTGCCGGTGTCAAAAATCCACCTGTCATCTGGACATACCCGTACGGCAAATTGCGGACATCTTTCCGGCGACTATACCGCGACCGCCGAGAGTATCACCCGCGCCGCTACGAGTGGCGAGGAGTGGGGCTAAACTAGATGGCTGGGACTCACGAGCAGCAGCTACCGCATCTCTTGCAGCTTCCTCCTTTTTATTTGCTCGTGAGTCCCAGCCATTTGTGACTGAGGCCCTGGTAGGGTATATTTTCGGCCTCGATAATTCGGGACCGTTATTTGGAGGATAGCCCCCAAAAAATCAATTTACATTTAATTTAAAAAAAAAAAAAAAGTAACGTAAGGATTGAACGCAGCATCTTTCATTTATAAGTCGGATATGATAACTACGCTACACATTCACATGACAAAAAATATAAAAACATGACCAGTATTGTACACCAGGCAATTGGCATCAACAAGCAGCCGACTGCGCACCAACAGACAGATATAAGCCACACCAAAAAACACTAAAAGAGAAACCACAGCATCAGCACACTTGCACCCCTTGAAATAGTGGACTGTCCAGTCAGCTGTGGAATTCCCACGAATTCCCCATGTTTTGGGTACGTAAAAAATATTGTACCTTGCATTCCTTAACAACAATACTGACAGGTGCAACAACAATACTGACAGGTGCAACAACAATACTGACAGGTGTATCAACAATACTGAGGGTGTGACAAAACCACCTCAGTGCTTTCAGAATGTAGTATGTTTAATAATTACTTTGTTTAATAAAGAAACTAAGAATTATACTTACTATGCCCTACTAAACCTATGTGGCATTAATGCCATCACTCCATATTTTCGAAGTCTTCCACTCGCTTACCCGTTGTAACATTTTAGTGTGGCTTGCTGTGGCAGATAGTACCAAAGCATTTTTATTAGGTGTCCAAACCACTTCATCTGTTGTTCTTTGATGACTTGTAAGACTGGCTTTATTTCTAAGATTAGTCTGATTTTGTACTGTCTTTCCTTGAAACTCCTGCAGCTCTTCTAAGACATTTCATCTCTGTTGTCTCAATTTTACGTTTATTGGAGGATGAAAGTGTCAACGTCTGGCACTGATAGCATAGTGCTGGCCAAAAAAAAACACGCTCTGATAAGATTTATGTTAGTACGCCTGGGGTATCTGCTTGTCCTGGCCTAAGATTACATAATATTAACTAGCCAGTCAACCTTAGGAAACTGAAGTATCATAAATACTGACAAACTTTCTGAACCTGTAACCTGGGCAAAGGGCAAAGTCCAGACATGAAGGCTCCTCCTGCCTGGTTTCTCACACCCTTTATTGACATTGGGTAGAACCAGATGGAATCCACTTAGAAAGTCTGATCTGTAGGTGGACAGTCAATTGACTGACAGCCACAAGGAAAGATAATTGTAGTCTGAAGAAACTTTCATAGGTGGGGCTTAAATGCTCTCCTGGAGGAAAGAGTCTGATACAGATAGTAGGAGAAACTAAACTGCCAACTCAGATAAGGGAAAGAATAATATATTGAGGAGTCTTGAATTCAATTCAGACTGCTGCTAGCAATGCTACTGACTAACAGCTGCACTAGAAAGTTATCCTAGCTGTGTGAGTCTATTTTTGGGGGGCAAAATTCTGGAATTTTCCCAGGTATCTCTGTTCTTTGTGAGTATTCAGTTTTCTCAGTTATGGAGCTGGTAAACCATTCCTATTTCTTGAATGCCTGTATTACATGTTTTTCAGAGCACTTTTCATGTTTATAGAATTAGATTTGAATACTGATTATTATTTTCATGAAATGTAAAGAAATAATGTTTCAAACATCAACAAAACCAGGTGCCTTGATTGTGGGGATTTTGATGGACACATGTGCAGTCATGTGGTGGTGGTTTTGCTAGCGCATCAGGTACTCAATTTAATGTGTTTACCTACCCCGGGGATTGACAACCCAGGGGGAAACA